TAATTATGTCTACAAACACTTATTTCCCAAATAAGGTCACATTTACAGGTTCTGCAGGCTAGAGCCTGGACATAACGTTTTGAGGTCACTATTCAACCTACTGTACTCACTTAACCCAAGGTTTGGCTGAAGTGCCAGCTATTTTATTACATTTCTTGATATTACCAGAAGGAATTTTTACTGTGGGTTTCTGTGCATGATGTTAATACCTCTCCCATGGTGTTTATCGTGTGTTTCACATTATTTGTCTTCCTTGACCTATTGTTTGGCTCTTGATAACAGGAATTGTGTATTGTGTTTTTTTGGTTGATATTTCCAGTGACTGACATGTGGTAATAAGTTTTGGTTGAAAAAATGTCAAGTAGGTAGACATGCAAACATAAAGAAAGGTTATAGATCTCTTAGCATTGTTTCTCAGCCTATTAAACTTAGGCTCTTTGATAACATGAAAAAATTTTCTGCCCTCCTTTTAGATCATTTTGAAGTTTCAACATAAATATGGTGACTAAAAATAAAGCATTGGGAAAAAAAAAAGCATTGGACAAGATGTTTCTGGTTTTAACTTATTATTCTTTGCCTCCAGAGGCATTTAAGAGTCACAGTTTTGGGAATGGGAGATGAGAGTCTAGGTTGCATCATGTCCCTAGGATTGGACACTGATCTGGATTCCCTTGGGCTTGGCTTGTGCCTGACCCCTTCCCCTTTGTTTACACAGGAAAGATCCATACCCCGATGGAATATAAAGGGGAGCTAGCCTCCTACGATATGCGGCTGAGGTAGGTGTTGGGGGCTATGGGGCAGAGGAGTCCTGGAGCACCAGGCACGGTACTAATGGCTCTGCCCCACCCTCAGGCGTAAGTTGGACTTGTTTGCCAACGTAGTCCACGTGAAATCACTTCCTGGGTACAAGACTCGACACAACAATCTAGATCTAGTGATCATTCGAGAGCAAACAGAAGGGGAATACAGCTCGTTGGAACACGAGGTGAGGCCATAGAAATTGGGGAAGCCAGGGGTGAAGGTGGGAGAGCGGCATAGCTCCTTCTCTTCTTTCCAGCGTCACCTGGCTGCTTCTCTCTTCTTACCCAGAGTGCGAGGGGTGTGATTGAATGCTTGAAGATTGTCACTCGAACCAAATCTCAGCGGATTGCAAAGTTTGCCTTTGACTATGCCACTAAGAAGGGGCGGGGCAAGGTCACAGCTGTCCACAAGGCCAACATCATGTGAGGGACATGGCTTTGCATGGGGTAGGTTCTTGGGAAGGTAGCCCCTTGCACTCTTGTGACTGAAGCTGTTCCCTTTGGCCCATGGACAGGAAACTTGGAGATGGGTTGTTCCTGCAATGCTGTGAGGAAGTTGCTGAACTGTACCCCAAAATCAAGTTTGAGACAATGATCATAGACAACTGCTGCATGCAGGTAATGTCCTCCCCATGTCTCTGCTCTCAAGGTACCAGGGATAGGCAGGGAGCAGAACTTATTTCTCTTCTCCATGCCCACATTTTGCCCCCTAGCTGGTGCAGAATCCTTACCAGTTTGATGTGTTGGTGATGCCCAATCTCTATGGGAACATTATTGACAATCTGGCTGCTGGCTTGGTTGGGGGAGCTGGTGTGGTCCCTGGTGAGAGCTACAGTGCAGAATATGCCGTCTTTGAGACGGTGAGTGAAGTCCCCTCTTCCCCCAGCCCTTTGCATACCTATCTTCTGACTTGAAGTTCCTTGATAGCTACTTCCCAAGGCGTCCCCTTCCTAAGTGACCCTGGCATGCTCTGTCCTCCTCCATGCCTCTTTTCCAGTGTCCCTGGCCTGATCCCTCTTCCTTAGTGCCCTTCCCTGACCTTAGCTGTGCAGAACGTCTGCCCCCAGTGACTCTGGTTGGTCCTCTTTCCACAGGGCGCCCGACACCCATTTGCCCAGGCAGTGGGCAGGAACATAGCCAACCCCACAGCCATGCTGCTATCAGCTTCCAACATGCTGCGGCATCTCAAGTAAGTCATGGTGGACTGGGGCAGGAGCCTGGGTGTTTTAAGGGGGAGTACAGACAAGGAAATTGGGGATGATGTGGGGAGAATCTCAGTTTCTTCCTGTCCACATTGACAGTCTCGAGTATCACTCCAACATGATTGCAGATGCAGTGAAGAAGGTGATCAAAGTTGGCAAGGTGAGTTAGAAAGGCTGTGGGTTCCAGGGTCTTGGCACTCCTCTTTGGGGAACCTGAATTGGGGCCTCCTATCCCGCCAGGTCCCCAGAACATCTGCTCTCTGATCTTCCCCTGTGGCTCTCAGGGCTGTTCTTCACCTCCCTTCTCCTGGCTGTTTCATCCTCTGGGTCTCCTTTGCCTCTTGGTTACCGTCTGCTATTCCCTTTCCTGCTCCATCCATTGGCTCTTTTATGGCCATCTTAATGCAGCGCTTGCAGCTCTCTGCCTGGGGAGAGAGCATGGGGGATGGAGGAGCAGAGGGAGATAGCAGGCAGGATGAGGCACAGGTGTCCCCTTCTCCACACTTGGAAGCCCATCCTCTGGCCTCCTTTCCTCCCACCCGGTCTGATTTCCTTTAAGGCATCCTCATCCTGTCTGATGTGCATTTCCCATCTCACTTCATGCTCAGCCTCCCTCCCATCCTGCCCAGGCTGCAGCATAGCTCTGAGAGTGGCTCTGGCCCTCAGCTGGGAGTGGATGGGTCCATGCTCTTCCAAACCTGGCCACCTCCTTGCAACTCTGCTGCATTGCATCTTCTTTCTGGCCTTGCCATCCTTTCTTGGATTCCATTTCCATCACATTGCCCTATCCCCCCTTCATGGGCTCTCTTCTCTTCTTCCCCACCGCTGTTGCCGGTGGTGGCTGTAGGTGCGGACTCGAGACATGGGCGGCTACAGCACCACAACCGACTTCATCAAGTCTGTCATCGGCCACCTGCACCCCCATGGGGGCTAGACCCCTTTATTCCCTCCAACCTCACAAGGACCATACTACCTACACCTCCCTTCAGTACAGTGGACCAGAGAAGAGTTCTTAAATAAATCTAGACCATAATCTGGGCAGAGCCTAGGTTGTCCTGGGGCTGGCTTCCTTAGGGAACTGTGTTATTGGAAGGGGGTGGGGGGTAGGTTAGGGATGGGGCCTAGGCCACAGGGATGATGACAATTCTCCCCTACAGGTTCGAACTTCTGACATGGGTGGCTATGCCACCTGCCAAGACTTCACTGAGGCGGTCATTGGTGCTCTGCCTCACCCATAGGTCCACCCATACCCATGTAAGGTGTTCAATAAAACATGGACTCCCAAAAAAAAAAAACACAAAACAAAACACATTGACTCCTGTGAATTTGTTTTTTTTATTGGGATATAAGGGTGGGTTTGGAATCATGGGGGTTTGCCCCACCTGGTAAAATGTCCATTCTAATCTTCCTGGGATAGTTTCTGGAGCTTTTTCTTTTTCTTGGAGCTGCCGCTCTTGCTGCCAGCAGCCTCTTCAGGTCCACTGCTAAGTGGCTCCTCCTTAGAAGAGAATTTCCTCTTTTTCTTGGGGATGCTCCTGTTTACTGCCTCTTCAGCATCGCTAACTGGTTCCTCTTTGGGAAAAGATTTCTTCCTCTTGGGAAGATTTACATTGCCAGCTGTCTCTTCAACATCACTAGTAACCAGCTCCTCCTTGGAAAAAGATCTCTTTTTCTTGGGTTTGGAGATGGAGACAGATGGGTCTTCCATTCCATTCTCCTGTGGAGTCTCCTGGGGCTTCTGCTTTTTCTTCTTTTTGGGTCTTTCACTTTGGGTCTCCTAAAGAGAAATGGGCATGCAACGATCATCCATTATATAGACAGACACACACATATTAAAAGTAGCTAGGGCAAAGACTGGTGTGAATGATGTGAAAACTGCCCAGTGTTTCTGGGATGGTTTTTAATGGGCACTAGAAATCCACCCCAAAGATGACTCCCACTTAGAAAGGAAAAATGTGTTATCTAAGCCCAAGAAACAGCTTATAGAAAAACCCACAAACCATCATGCCAGGTTGCAAAGGGGACACTGAAAAACTACTTCACAAACTGGGTACCTCATGAATCCCAGGGTGGATCCTGTGATGTAGCATTATGGATACCTCCCTGCCCCAAGCCCAACTATGAAATGCTACCATCTCCGGACATACGGCTGAGGACACGCAGAGCAGGAATTTATACTACCCCCGGTTGAGGACTCCTGGGAGGCAGCCGAGGACAGAACACTTGCCCAGGGACCGGGTGTGCTACAACCAGCTCTTTGGGCTCCTGAGCCAGTTCTCTCAGCACCTATCTCCTTCCTATAGAATCAAGAGGTAGTTGAGATGTTTCAGGTCCTTATTTCAGTCCAATAGTCTGGACTCAAGACCATGACTGAAATAGCATATCCTCTGTTCTGCTGTGGAGAACCCTACATCCAGGGCCTTCACCCTGGGCTGAGGGCTGTCCTGCCTACTGACCTCATACTCCTCTGGGGTACTACTGTTTTCTGAAGATGCGAGGGCAAGGGCGGCTAGCCGTTTCTTCTCCTTCTTCAAGCGTTTCTTCTCCTGCTTCTCCAACTTTCTAGCCATCTCAGCAGCCGCTTCCTCTGCCTGGCCAAAGAAAGGTACTGAAAAGGCCCAAAGACTGCAGTATCTCCAGACCTCCCTTCTGGCTTCATTGGATCAGGCTCATTAAATCAGTTTTTTGCCTCCACTCTACAAAGTCAGGCTAAGCCTGTTCATCACCTCCAACAGCCAGCTTTGGTCCCCATCCCCTCTCTCACCCCAGCAAGTCCAAACTGACCTGAACCATTGCCTCCTTCATGACCTCCAGATTCTTTCGTGGAATCTCTCCTGTCTCATAGAAGGATAGCCGCTCCTCAACTTGCTCTCGAAGCTTCTCCCCAAATACACTTGTGGGTACCTCTGGATGTGTGCGTGTGTGTGTGGGTAAACAAAACCTGTCAGCCCCTAAAGGACCAGCTATTTCCCACCCTGTCTTCCCTCTACCCTCAGCTTCACTCAGACCCAAAGTCTCAACACTCACTAAGTGAACTGCTGTTGACGAAAAATAACTGCCATCATTGTAGAAGCTGCTAGGTAGTCAGCCTTCCCTCCCTCCCAGCCCCTTCTCCTCCAACCCCCTCCACCCATACCAGAGAAGCAATCAATTCGTGAGGCAATACTGCATTTGTTTGCCAGGTATCGGGAGATGCGGCCTTTGTTCTTGGCAGCTGCTCGGCCAATGAAGGTGGAGTGGAAAATGAGTCCATATTTTGGAGTGTTACCCCTGGTCTTCAGGGCTCTGGGAGAAGAATATTTAGTGGGGAGTTTTAAGATCAGAAATTTCAACTCTACTAGCCAAGGCAGCTCCTCCCCTCCCCTGTATCCCCAGTCTCTATCCAGTGAGCCTCAGGCTAGACTGGGTCTCTACCCCCACCTGCCAACCCACAGCTCCCGGAGGCAGAGGGAAGGCATCCAATGTCGCTGACCTGGAAATCTGGTCCCTTTGCTGGGCCCTAGGAATCACTCAGACACCAGGGCTGGCCATCACCCCCATAGCAGAGGTCTATAGGTCAGGGAGCCCTGGTCAGCCATCACTGTGATCCCCAAACAAGCAGTGGGCACCAGAAGTGGCACCTGAGTGTGGGCAGGTGCCCTCACTGGTACCTGAACAGGGCCTTTTCAGCCCCAAGGATCTGCACTGTGGACGCTGGATACTTGGCCAAGTTGGTGAGGCTGCCAGCATGAGCAATGAGACGTGCACCTACCTGGAGAAGGATTCAAGGAATTAGAGGCTGGAATTGTCTATCTGTCAACTGCACAATTCTGCTTCAGCCCATTAAATGCGACCAGGGAAGAGAATATGGGTCAAGAAATACAGCAGTGTGGATCTACGCTGTTAACACTCCTTAACCCCATTTTATGTTCCCCACAACGCACCGCTTCCCCAATTAGGGCTGAGAGGCTGGGGGCTACTTGGCTCATCTTGGACCGCAGGTAAGTATGCAGGCTCTGGCGGTACTCTGACAAAGACACCACACGACTGGAGAAGCTCTCGATGTTTATCAGGTCGATGGCCGATATGTCCATGCCTAAGGGACACCTAGTGTGAATGGAGGACCAGATATCCACAGCCCCAAACTTATTTTGGCCACCAGGCTATACTGACCCATGGAGGATCGCGAGGCATCCAGAATAGCCTTAGCCTTGGCCCCATCCATTGTCAGCTCTTCCAGCTTCTCAAGCTTCTCCTCATTCAGCTCCCTTCGGTTTCCAATGAACTGAGCAAGGCGGCAGTATGTAGCATTATCGTTGATGATCTTCACCAGTTCAGGAAAGTGATACCCATACCACTCCCTGCAGAGAGCCACAATCACTCCCTGCTCAGCGACTAGGTCTCAAAGCTACAACCTCAGCCCTCTATTCTTTACCCAGAGAAAAGGAATCAAGTACAATTCAAAGCCTCAACTCCATGTCCTCCCATTCACAATACAGACCAGGCAAAGAGCCTGGGCTGGGGTGTATATGGGTGGATTTACTCTACCTCCTCTTTCTGTACAGCCAGTGTAAGAACACAGCCTGTGGTAAGCACTGGGAGGCCCAGCCCCACCCCACATTTTCTACCCACAGGAAGTGGTCCTGATTTCAGCATGTGAAATTAGCTACACCACAGGCCAAAGACCCTATTTTCAAGGGTCACTTGGGCACTTTACCTGACACGCATGGAAAAAGTATTAATGTCCTTATCCAGCTGGTCCAGGAGGCTGATGGACTGGATAATCATATTGTCCACCCGGTTCACATTAAACTTAACTTTGGCACGAGAATAGCTGTGTCCCAGCCCCAACTGGGCTTTACAAGCAGACAGATCTGTCAGACCTTTCACCAGGTTGTGGAAGTGCAGACGAACCCCTGGAAGAGGACAAGTCAGTGAGCAAGGGAAGGCTGTAAGCCAGTCACGGCGCCCATGGGCACCAAGCCAAGCAGAAGGGCTTCCCAGAAGCAACCTTATGTGCCCTGGTTAAGTGACTAAATCCCCCCTCACAGATGTCAAGAATGTTGTGAATGTTAATAGATGGTCCCACCTCGCAGGATCTCAGCTATCACGCCTCCAGTCTGGCAGTTGTACCCTAACTCTTCTTGTATAGCAGCACCGATCTTGGGGTCTCCAACCCCCAGGAGTACTTTCTTCTTTTTGGATGGCAGGTGAGTCTCCAAGAGCAGGCGGAGGTCCTCATGAACGACACCTCAAGGCAAAGAACAGAGCTCCCACTAACATGCTGAAATTATAAAAGGGATCCTGTCCCCTTAACTGCTAATTAAATGACGGACTGATCCTACATTGGTCCCACAGAGCATGCTGAGTTCCTTCTTTGCTTTAGGCTTTGCTCAGAGACATGGAGACATCAGTGATTGCACTCAGGGGATTGACAGACTCAAGTCATCACTGCAAAGCCTGCATCAACTATGGGAGGAATAGGACTCAGGTCTGATAGCATGAGTGTGAAATACAGAATTGAAACCTTAAACCCGGAGAAACTATAGAGGTTAAGTATTTCGTATTTGATTTGCCTTTTGTTTTTTTTTTTTAATTTCTATTTATTTATGATAGTCACACACACACACAGAGAAAGAGAGAGAGGCAGAGACATAGGCAGAGGGAGAAGCAGGCTCCATGCACCGGGAGCCTGACGTGGGATTCGATCCCGGGTCTCCAGGATCGCGCCCTGAGCCAAAGGCAAGCACTAAGCCGCTGTGCCACCCAGGGATCCCTGATTTGCCTTTTGGAACTGAACTTATTTTCTTGCCTTTTCCAATCACTTCAATAATAACCAAAGAACCATCTTTAGCATTAAAGCACGCCTACCAGATTTCACTTAATCATTTATCACTGTCAGGACCACAAAGAAAGCCTCTATCCTGGAATATACACTTTAAATTTTTAGCATACCATATTCCCCCAGACTTTGGGTTCTGTTTTAAACTACATCCTATACACATCAAATACTGCCCAACACGTATCAGATTTGCAAGAAATCAGCTGAGGGAAGGAAAACGGGATCATGAACTCCCTATGAGAATAAGAGCAGCAGCAACTAACCCTGCGGTCATCTCCCTCAAATACCTGGTGGTGGTCCACTCACCTTCGGACACAGCGTTGGCATTTTCCAAGGCAACCTGGGACGAGGCGAAGGGACAAAAGGCCACGAGGCGAACGATGTTGTGGAACTTGCCCAAGTTGAGCACGCACTCCTCCACCTTCGGGGAGAAGAGAGCGTGAATGCCTTTCCTCCCTCGCTCTTGCCTCTAGGGCGCAGTAAAGCAGCGGTTCTCAGCCCTGACCGCATGTCAGATCCGCACGCTCCGTAAATGAGCCGATTACAGGCCCTAAATCCCGGGGTGCTGGCTTCTACGTGCTCCCAACGCGACTCTAGGCACGGATGCGCGGAGGACCCCCGGCTCCCGGGCTTTCCGGCCCAGCGCACCCCCCAAAGCGCGGCCGGCCACGTGGGGGCGCGCGGTGCATGCTGGGGCCCGGCGGCCCGGGGGGCTGCGGCGCGGCGGCGAGCCCACCGCTTCCACCCACCTGCGGCAGCAGCAGGCTGATCTCCTCCACCTCCTTGAGCGCCAGCAGCGCGTAGCCGACCGCGTGCTCGAACAGCACGTGCAGCAGCACCTGGAACGGAGCCGGGGCGCGGGCGTCAGCACGGTCCCCGCGTTCGCCCGACCCGGCTCCCAGCGCAGGCCCCGGCCCCGGCCCCGGCCCCGGCCCCGGCTCCCGCCCCAACTCGGCCCCAACCTCGGCCTTCGTCTCGCCCCAACTCGGCCCCAACCTCGGCCTTCGTCTCACCCGCGCCCACAACCACTCCTCACCATGGCGCCCGCTCCTGGCCCGGCTCGCAATGCGGCGAGCTGGGTCTGGCGCGCGGACCCGGGCTCCGGAGGCCACGCCCCCGAGCCGCCGGCCAATCAGAGGCCGGGGACGATACCTTTGCGGGACTTCGGAGGGGTCCGCCGCGGTGGTGTCGCCCGGAGGGCGGGAGGGCCAGCGCGGGCGCGCGGGCGTCTTCCGCCTTCTGCCGCGGCGCCGCTCCGCGCGGTTGCCGGGGACGCGCGGCCTGGGCCCGGCCCCGCGAGGCCGCAAAGCGGTTCGGGAAGGCGCTTTTCCGGAGAACGCCCCAGCCCCTCGGGTCCGCCTCGCGGGAATCCGGGTGGCGGAGCTCCCTTAGGAGGAGCCGGGCGGGAGGCCGTTCCCCCTTCCGCGGCGCCGGTGGCCGGGGGTCCGGGGCCTCCCCCCGCCCGGGGCCCCGCCGTCTCCGCTTCCGGCTCGGGGGCCACGCTGTTCCCGCGGGCGGAAGCGGGGCCTGTGGCGCGTGTGCGCAGACCCGATGCGAGGAGACCCACGGCTCCTCGGGTCCCGCCTCTTGCCTTTCGGGTGCATTTTGTTTATTATTTAAAAAATGCTTATTACAGGCGATAAAATAGAAAAGGATGACCATCTCCCCTGCTCCTAGGTCGGTTCCCAGGTCCCCCACGGAAGCAGGACCGGTCCTTTGGGAAGGGCCACGTGTTGCTCGCCCCGCCCGCGGAACCCGCAGTTAGCTCCAGGCGCTCTCAGGCTGCTTCCAGGTCCGTGAGGGCGGGTTTTGGGCATTCTGGCGACTAATTTGAAATTACCTTTGCTTTAATAAGTAATATAAGAATGATAAACCCCACACTTGTTTATCCTAAAGTGGTAAAGTAAAAAAAAAACATTTTGAGGGGATTTTTATTCCCTGTATTCCCATAATTTAAAGCGCATTTACACACTTAATGCATTTTCTTCTTAAGCAATTCATTTACTTGGTAAACAAAATCCAAATAGTGAGCTCCCTCAAAGATGCAGTGAATCTTAAAAATCTCAATATTGCTTAAAACGTGATTGAATTCTGCTACATACATTTACATATGATCATGAATCTGAATCCATTACTGTCTCTCTTTTTTTTTCATTACTGTCTCATTTTAAGGTGGAATTGCAAAATTAATGTTACATACATCAGTGTGTTAAGTTCTTTTAAATTATAAATACCAAGTTAAGCAGATG